TGTGTATTAATTACAGGGTGTCCAAAAACGACCGCATATCTCTGCATGGCTAGTTCCTGTTGGGCGTACTAAAAACTGCCCAAAGAAGCGATCCTGCGACTCCATAGTTTACGAGAAAATATGAAACAAGTATGAGTCACTGCTGGTGCAAGAAAAACACTTATTGACATATCAACAACAGTATTGGAATCTTCCAAACAATAATGTTGTCGCCGTGCTATCGGTCACATGCCGCGCGCTGTGAAATGACGTTAAGCTGCTGTTGGCCTGGTATTTAAAAGAATGCATCTTGCAGCTACCAGTAGCCTTTGCATGGTGGCCATGTATTCCATTCATGACTACTGCAACATATACTTGATGTACAGCCAATGTAATGGAAATACCTTACGAACTGCTAGGGAGTATATCCGTCCCACCGTCCTCCTGATGTCAACGTCATCTGTAGGCTGGACAACAGACTACGAAATGCGGGAAGTGTCTTGCCAACAGCCAATCTTCATGATACTGGAAAACTGTGGAGCGGCCTGAAGGTAACATAGGCAGATGGAATACTGCAGTAGGTAGAAGAGACACCCTAGGTAAGCACAAGCGCATTTAGCCCGTGAGATGACTTCGAGTAAAAGTACTGTGCACAGGCTTGTACGGTCTGAGAGATGAAACCAGGTGACTTTCAGAAACGCGTGGTATTCTGTGAATGGCTGTTGCAGCAACAGAACACAGGTAATGGTTTCATTGCACATAATAATAATGGTTAATTGCACATATAATAATGGTTTCATTGCACATATCCTGTGGACTGATGAATCATGTTTCACTCGTGATCAGGTATTCAACCGTCACAACAGCCATATGTGGTCCCAATCAATCCGCATGCAATCTGGCCGCAGAAATATCAGGAACGTTGGTCTCTTAACATGTGGGCCGGCATACTTGGAGATCGCCTGTTTACTTGGACCATATCTGTTGCCTGAACGGCTCTCGGGACAGTTGTACTTGGTGTTTCTCAATGAGGTCCGAACCGAGGTCCTCGACAACATACCATTAACGGCAATACAGGGACTTTGGTTCCAGCATGATGGGGCTCCGGCGCATTTCTGTGCTCCTGTACGTGGGTGGCTGGATATGGAATACTCCGGTCACTGGATCAGACATGGGGGTCCAGTTTTATGGCCGCCACATTCGCCAGATCTTACACCGTTCGATTTTTTCCTATGGGGGCCATCTCAAGGAACTGGTGTATCGAGATGTAGTGACAACACCAATGAACTTAGTTGCTTGTCTGCATGCTGCTGGTACTTTGGTGGACCCCGCGATGCTGCAATGTGATGACAGCCATTCCACGGCGTGCTCAAGCCTGCCTCGACATGCACGATGGACACTTTGAACATCTGCTTTAAATTGTGCATATACTGCTGTAGATATGTTCAATAAAGTGTTTTTTCTTGCACCAGCTGTGATGTTGTACTTTGTTTTTCGTTTTTTTCTCGTAAACTATGGATCGTACAGGAAAGCTTCTTTGGGCAGTTTTTATGTACTCCCAACGAGGAATCTAGCTGTGCAGAGTTTATGAGGTCGTTTTGGGACACGCTGTATACGCTACCCAACATGGAAAATGCAGCACCAAGAAAGAGTGGCCAGAAAGTGATGAAACTCGGCAAACAGAGAGAGATGGCAACGAACAATAAGTGATCTTCATTTTGAAATGATATGCATAATACAGAGGGAGAACAGTGTCAGCTCAGTAGGTAGTAGAACGACCTTGGCCATAGATACATGAGGCAACATTTCTAAGTACAGAGTCAATGAGACTGGATGGTGTCCTGAGGAATGGCTTCATTCCATATCAACGATTTCCAACAGTTCGTCTTTTGAATACTGCAATGGTGGGGTCTGCAAATGGCATCCAATCACATCCCAAATGTGTTCGATTGGTGAGATATCAAGAGAGAATGTTGGCTGATGCGAGCAGTGTGTGGTCAGGCGTTATCCAGCTGATAAAAAGCATTGGGCATGCCCTGAAGGTAGGGGAGTGTCACTGACTGCAGCACATTATCCATGTATCATCAGGCCATCATAGTGCTCTGAATACGAATAAGAGGTGACCTGGAATAGTACGCAATTGCATCTCAAACCATGAGGCCGCACTATCATTTGGGGGGGGGGACATTCCACAATTGCTGCCGGATAGTACCTGTCTCCACATCAATGCCACACTCCTATGTGACAACTACCATCGGGGAAACAGAAGTGTGACTCATCTGAGAACACGACTTTGTGCCATTCCATTGTCCACATTGCTCGAGCCCAGCACCACTGCAGACATTAGCATCTATGATGTGGGGTCAATGGCAGTCTTCTTAATGGATGCCCAAGTGTAGGCTGCTAGCCAACAATCAAAGGCAAATGGTTCTGGTCAATATGGCAGCAACCAGGGTGTCTTGAACGTGCAATGGAATGGAGGAAGAAGTGGTCGTCGCTTGTCGGTGGATTTGTTGATCCACGCACATTGATGTCATTCTGGCTGCATTGGCACCCCTTAACTCGTCACATTTCCTTGTTTAGCAGAAATAAAGACACAAAAATTGAACATGCTGCAGGCTCCTTATCTTATTCCCCTGAAATTATTGCCTTTTCCCCCTAAAGCCCTGCCTTATTGCACAGAAATTCGCATAATTTCAGGCGCGTAATGAATTGGAAGTTGATCTGTCAGCACTATCCTTATCTTCACGGCAGATGTTTTTATTTTATTTGGCTTATAATTCCTTACTAAATGTAGTATTTCATGTCATGTACTCCGTCTTTGATATGATTTAAAGCAATTATAGGACTTGAACAGCGGAACTTTGTAACTAAACAAGAAATTATATTTTAATAGAATTAAGAAAGTATTATCACATGAAACGAAGCAACTTAAACACTTACATTGAAAGAAATGTTTAATAAAGTAAACAAATAATATAGTTTTTTTGTAATTTTGATACCCTTTAGATCATAATGTTCTTATTTCATAAATTCGGTTTCATATTTTTAATTTTGTAATTTCTGCATGTCATCTTACCAGATTTAAACTGATGATCTATAATCCGGAAAAATCGATAATCCGGAATCGCCGAAGTCCCGACGAGTCCGGATTAACGACTTTTGACTGTACTATGTAAAATTTCATAAATTGGATTTTGTATTGTTTTACAAAATACATACTTGAACAAACAAATAGTTGATAATATAAATATGTAGCTTTACAGTTATTTAAAGGAAATTTGCTTCAAAATCCTGGTCCCTCATTTTTTGGATTAATTGATTTTAAGAAATTGCATATCTTCTTTTGAATTGCATTTAATTTCTTTCGTTGTTAAATCCCTTAGATGTCTTTAATGTTTATTATATTCCAATCTGTTATTTTCCCCCTCCACATACTTAGTTGATTAAATGTTCTTTCACTTCCTCTTTACTATGAGTTATTCCTTCGAATGTCTACTTTATTTAAAATTTGATAATCTCTGACCTTTTTATTCATTCCCCCAGAAAGTAATGAAAGTTCAGTTTTCCATATCTTCTTTAGTAAACTCTTTCAGACTACTCTTTACTATTTTTATAATTTAGTTTTACAGAAATTAATATTATTTCATAAGTTTTTTGCACCTGTCCTGTGTCTATTTTTCTTTGCAGAAAACTTGAGTGATTATTTTCATGTCAGTTGTAAAGCAAGCTAGTAAGATAAGTTAAATTCAAGTTACATTAGTAGGTTAAATTCAAGGTTTGAATTCGAGTAAGTTAAATATAAGGCTAGTAATTTCTGCCAAAGTGGTTAAAACCAGCAACCATAAAAATGGCAGAAATTTACGAAATAAATAAAAACTGAATGAAGTATTGCAAGTTGTAGGGAGGAACATATTTTAAAATAAATTCAGCTACATTGTTTACAATATTCAAAATATATGCAATGATCGTTAAAAGATGCACATCTAAATTCAATTGCAGTATGATCTTTTTTAAGAAATGGTCTGTAGAAGATGACTAATTTAGCTGCTATTCCAAACACCAAAATATTTTTCAGTTTATTGTGAATAATAAAAAAGCTGAAGAATATTCTTTCAAGTGCTGAGAAAGCTAGATTTATATATATATATTTATGTTTGAACAAAACCAACCTGCAGCAGCTGAAACATTTTGTAAAATTTCATGGAGAAATATGTAGAAAAAGGGGATTTTTCTGTTTGAAAAGCTATGAAGCTATAATATATGAGGTTTATGTCTTGTCATGTCCTTGCTGCTCATTTAGACTACTATGTGTTTTGGACATTGAGGTAAGAATAAAAGGAGATGCCATCCCCACACAACCCCTGATGCAGTGCTGCCAAGCTTTGGTCTCCAAAGCGGTTGTATTTTCTTTATATCCAGAGCATGTTGACAGTAGTTTAGTGGTACTGCCACCCACGATAGTTCCACACAAATCGAAAAGCGGCGACACTTCTGCATGAAAGAAATATGTTGGATGGATAATGGCTATTTGTATAGTTTAGGGGCACTCATGCAAAAAATCTTAGTTATTTTTTGAACTTGCAGCAGCAATTTTGATTATGAATTTGCTTTATAAATTTCTAAGGAACTAGATGACAAAAATATATATTTTAGCAAAATGTTTGTTATGTTTGAAGAATGATAATACCTTAAGATAATACCTTTAAAATGTCAAAATGATAATACCTTTAAAATAATGATAATACCTTTAAAATGTCAAAATATCGCAAAAATATAACATACTTTAAAGCTCAGTTTCCTTATAACTGACTGGTATAAGTGTAAAAATTTTAATACTTATTTTGATGCCCTTGATAGTATATTTGCTACTTTTCTTTTATGTTCTAAATATCAGAATATTTTAAAGAAAATGTTTTTCATCATCAACATAATACTGTAATATCCACTTTTTAAACATTTTTAGGGTAGAAACATAATAATTGCTTATTTTAATCTTATCATTTTATTTTTGTATAATTGAAAAATAATCACTTTGGGTTTATTTATCTTAAATGAAATTACCTCCTAATCCTGCAGTCCTTGTAAAAGTTAATAAATATATAGACAGATATGCTAACAAGTTAACTTTTCCTTCATTTGTAACCATGTAATTGTGTAACATTGTATACAGGAACATTTGCCAATTCAGTGAAAATATAGTGTGCAGTCAAGGTGATTTGACTGTGCCACATCATCATGACAACTTATAAGGAATTTGAAAATAGGGCGATGCCATTACTATTAACCAGGATATCAATACATTTTGGATTACCTTGCAGTATGTAAATTTCAGGTATTTGTGAATTTAGATCAATTATTTGTTTTAATTGTTTCAAAAAATGAATCAGTGGTGGTATGGAGAGTAAGGCAGTCAAGATTGTGATCTGTTGACAATGAGGTTAATGCTCAAATGTGAAATAGATAGTTGTTACTTATTATATTATCAGAGAACTATTAAATTGAGTAAAATTGCTAAGAGAGGTATTGGATACTTTGCCAAAATATATTTACTAGAAAATTTGAATTTTATAATGAATGTACCTAAAAACATGTTTTAAGTCAAAAGTTTGAAACTTGGTATCCAAATGTAAGCATGAAATTATATGTGTAAAACTATTTGTAATTAGGGATACAGACCAGGTTAAATTTTTTAAATAGAGTAAAGCATGTAATGGCTATCTGCCTAAAGAGAGAAATACCCTTGTGATGGAATTTCGAAGGAAATTTGACCTTTAAGTGCATATGAAAAATAATACATGTAATTTTCATTTAGTTTATACATATTTCTTACGTAAAAAATTCTGTATATGCTAAATTATTCTAAATTACTTTACTAAAAAATTTAGTGTATGCACAGAAATTAAAGATTTATTTGCACATGCCAAAAATGAAAAATATTAAATATATATGGGTATTTGTGCATATCCTTGTAAAAAGCATGCATTTGCCTTTAATAAAATATGGAAGTTGATCTGTCATCACTATCCTTATCTTCAAAACAGATGTTTTTATTTTATTCGGCTTATAATTCCTTACTAAATGTAGTATATCATCTCAATGTACCCATCTGGATCTATTTAAATCAAATTCCTCGCGTATAAATGTTATGAATACACATCAGATATTTTCTGTTGCAATTTAATTTCGCATGCGTAATGTAGGCTTTACGCATGCGGGCGTTGAGAGAATGTTTAATAAAGTAAACAAAAATAAAGCTTTTTTTTAATTTGATACCCTTTAGACGTAATTGCTCTTAATTTCATATTACAGTTTCAATTTTAATTTATAATTTCTGCATGCCATCTTACCAGATTTAAACTGATGATCTATAATCTGGAAAAACCCCTAATCCGGAATCGCTGAAGTCCCGACGAGTCTGGATTAAAGACTTTTAACTGTATATACTTGAGCTCTTTAAAAATTTGACATATTAAGCGATTTTCTGAGCATGATGGTTAGCTAAATATGATGTTTAAATTTTTGGAAATTGGAATTTATTATGTGATTTGGGTAATTTAAAAATATAGCGAAAAGCATAATATATATTACAATTATGAATATTTTTTTAGATAATTTGCTTTTCTTTTAAAAACCATTAAAGTTAGTAGCTACTGATAGTATATAAACAGTTAAAAATAATTATAAATTTTTATATTGAAAGTCATATTTTAAAATTAAAAGAAAGCTTATCAGAAAAAACGTGCAAACAACTTCTATGCCTGTTACAGTTACGGTAATTTCAGATTGCATATAATATTGAATTATCAACAATTCTCAGTATACAGAAAGGTCAAGACAAACTATTAACGCTAATGCTGCTGTTGTTACTTATGCTCAATTGTTGGACAGTAATATCAGCCCAAGCCCATAAAATTCCTTGTGGCAAGGAGTGTAAGATTACGCCTGTTGTTTGCAACAGCCTTGAGCACCTTACAAGTGACTGCGATTTAGCTCAGTTCTGCCCCCAATTTTGATGGAGAGCGCTCCGAGGAAGGATGGGTTTGAGGGTTTCTCACCCCTCTCCCCTTCCACCAAACCACACGAGAGGGCTTTTGGCTCGCCTCATATTTGGAGTGCCGCCATGCTGCACAACACCTATACATTTACAAACATTCATGTCTTCTCCGTGATTCGAACCCATGCCCCTTGGCATGACAGTCAGCGACGCTAACCGCTGTACTGGTTGGGAGACTCTAAAGCTGTAATAAAAGCAATTAGAAATATTAAAATCATGATATTTTATATTTCAAACAATAATGCACTGTATATTTCTCTATTCAAGCTGAAAGTTTTTGGAACTTTTCCTAAAGCTAAATTACAAGTCAGCTTATATACAGATTTACTACCCTCTCAAAAAACATGTATTTTCTTCTGGGTGCAAGCAGTAAATTGCTAATATTGCACTTTTGTATTACTTTATATTCATTTATATTTTTATTGTTTATAATTTTTAGTTAAGTTTATAAAAAAATTAATTCTAAATGAAGTAAGATATTACTTTTATGAAAATTGGCTCTTTATTTTTGAAATAGTTTGTAATGCTAAAACAAAAGATCTGATCATGGCAAAATTTGCATGCGGCTTTCGCTATGCAGAAATCTTCAGCAGCCATACTGTTGTTAGAATTTTTTGGAAATGTGATGACTTGTAGTTTGAAATTTTTCACATAAGAATTTCTCTTCCCTCTCGTCTTTCAGACAAAATATAAAATGGCATTGAAAATAAAAATAGCACTGATGGCATAGATCGGTCACGTGGCAACAAATGAATGGTGAAAATGTGCTAACTGCGGATAAGGTTAGCAGACTTAAAACTTTCATCATTTGCATCTGGCATTTTAATTTACAGCAATTTGGTTAGAAAATATTCCACCCATTTTACCCTTGGCAACGTTTTTGCCCTTGTTTGAATTTTTAGGTAAATTTTTGAATAAAAAATGTATTCTCGACTTACTTATACACAGATTGGCTTATATTTGGAGGACTTGTTATTGCTTGAATATTTGTTATGCATATGATATTCCTGCTTGAGTCAGTAATTTAATAATCATTTGAGTTATGTTATACTAGACAAATTTCAGGAATTGTTAATTTTCTTTTTTAATATTCCACAATACTGCATTAGTTCAAAGATTTTTAATGTTAATTATTTTCAGTTAAAACTTGGAATAAATTCTGAGAAATTTTATGTAACCTTTTATGAAATTTTATTAAAGTTGTTTTGTGCTTTGGAGCTGTATTATTGCTGCAAATTCTGCCTTATTTTTATTGCATCACGTAAAAAACAGCCATTTCAGTAAAGATCTTTCTAATACTTAGCAAATAATTAAAAGAAATTTTTTTGAAATAATAAAAAATCAATTATAAAATTTTATTGAAAGTAGAGGGAAATTAGAAAGATGAAGTCCAGTGCTGGTTAGAAAAGTTAAAATTCTCAACTAATTTCTAACAGTCATTCACTCATGAGATGAGGATATAAAGGTGGTAAAAATTGTTATTTAGTAGTGTAAGTTTCCATTCAAACCAGAACGGTCATTGTTGTTAGTTACACCGTAAAAAGATTAAGCCGTAGGAACTGAAAAATCTTATTCTGCTGCCTCTGTTTCTTAGAAACTTTCTGCATTGTATGATGTAAAGTACAACTATCCAGCATTCAGCTAACTGGAAAGCTCAAGTAATCACAATATTTTAGAATTTTAGGGGGAGGACTTGCAGTAAATGAGAGGTTTATAACACCGTTATAGAACTTGTTAGCTCATGCAACCATTGTTGTTGACAAACAGTGTTATTTAGTGGCAAAAATGTATTAAGTATAATGTCACAACAGTCATAAGAATTTCAGTTTTCATACAACTGAAATTCGGTATTTCCTGAGTTTTCTGGATAGCCGAGCTTTTACTATAATTTGAAGCTAAGATCCAAGCACCACATGTTGGGATCCACAGGCAAATATGTACTTTCATACAAACTCATAGATTGTCACATTAAGAAATGAAATAAACATTTGAGAGAAGAAAAAGAAAAACCCTTTAAAATGAGCAGTTTTTTTTTTTTTTTTTTTAAATGAAGCTTTATGATTTTTTCATACATTTTTTTAATAGATCTAATTTAATTTTAAAATGATACTTAGGGAATGTTTATTTTAGGAAGAGTACTTAAGTTCTCAAGGATACTGCTTTACATTGTAGTCCAAGAACTAAAAAAGATATAAAATATTCCATATATTATAAAATAATTTTATTCTCTATAAATATCATTTTTCCAATTTTTAGTACTGAAACATCAGTATAATTATTCATCCATATAACAGTAAAAGTAGCTTTCGTGAAACTTCACAATGATACTTTTCACACTTATGCAACTCATAAATAAAATAAACTTTCAGATTTATAATTGAAACATTATAGCTAACCACTTAATCAGAAAGCAAAAGAGTTTTTTTTTTTTGGGAGGGGGGACCTAATAAAATATATAAACATATTTTTGAGACATAAAAATTCAGGCTCAAATACTTACGTTTATGATAATTATAGTCATAAATACATATTATACTCCTAGAAAAAACTGTCATTTTATTCATGTAGGGTTTTATCCATATATGCTTTTATTTGTTTGGTTATTTGTCCCTTTTTTATGGTGATTTTTTTTAGGGAATTTATTTTTTCACGATACTTACTGTGGGTTTTGTTAAGCTATATTCTTGGCACAATACCTACTGTGGGTTTTGATAAGCTGTATTGATTTTTGCACCAAAATTTTTCCGAGTACAAAATGAGGAGAGTTAGATAAAAAGGCTGCATGAAGTTTTACCTTTCTGTAGAATATGAAAAGAATATAAAAAATATCTCACTTGTGTAATGGCTAGTGGGTATGCAGCCATTTTCCCCATGATATATATGGTTGCAAAGCACATGTGTTGTAACCCTTGTAAAGAATAATGTGTGCTGGCTAGTGGGTATGCAGTCATGTCTCCCATGATATACAGTCAAAAGTCGTTAATTTGGACACCCATAATCCGGACCTCAAAGCTACAAACTTTCTGCGCATGCGTACGACCTTTACGGCTGCGAATGTGCGTGTGCGCATGCCCAAAATACGTTTACGCATGCGCGTTTAATGTATAACGGACGGTATAAGCTAAGTTAAAATTATTTAATTCAATTAATATTGCAGATTGCGTTGTTCCTTAATCTTCGAATTGGATCCGACTTATTATTTTTTGCAGACTGTTAGAGCAATGTTATAAAAGTAAGCTTGAACTTTTGATTATGTCAAATAGAATTTCCGATATATATTACTAATTGTAAGGATCTACAAAGCGAAAGTGTGTTTCGAAGTCCATTAACAAAAAGTGGATAAAGGCATATCCTTGTTTATCTAACCATTCCGAAATCTGTTTATCAATTTCACCGCTCGCGGCGGTGGGACGCTGCGGCGCGCAATGAATTGGAAGGTGATCTGTCAGCACTATCCTTATCTTCACGGCAGATGTTTTTATAATTTATTTTCTTATATTCCTTACTAAATGTAGTATTCATCTCGATGTATCCGTCTTTGATATGAATTTAAATCAAATTCCTCATCAATTATAATTTGCTTCCGATAGCGAAGAAAGTAAAGTAAACAAATAAATATAAGCTTTTTTTTAAATTTTGATAACCTTAGATTCATAATTGTTTTGTTCATAAATTACGGTTTCATATTTTAATTTTATAATTTCTGCATGCCATCTTACCAGATTTAAATGATCTGTAATCCGGAAAAATCGATAATCCCGAATCGCCGAAGTCCCGACGAATCCGGATTAACGACTTTTGACTGTATATGGTTACAAAGCACAGGTGCTGTAGCCATTATAAAGAATACCCAAACCTTTCAGAAGGTCTAAAGAATGCAAAAAAAAAAAAAAAAAAAAAACATTCAAAAGATGGAACAAACTGATAAAGATCCAAAAGTTCTATTCCTGTAGACAAATCACCTATATAGCCTGAAACTCATTAGAATTTATTCAATGCTTTCAAAATTTTTATCATATCACTTTTGAACAAAACCTCACTTGACAGATGAATTAAAGTACTTGGATAGAACTGTGTAGTCTATTCAAGTTCTTTGCATAATCATGGGTACTATACAGTGCCCTAAAATATGCTGATTATGTGGCTTGCTTCTCCAAGAGGTAGATGTGATACATGCCTCATAAGGCTTTTATTTAGAACATAGAGAAAGCTGAGGTAAAGATAAAAAATAACTGTAACATAAGAGTATTTTCAGCTATTCTAACATGAATAAAATCCTAGCATTCTAAACATGGTTGATTTTAAGGGTTAGTAATTTTTCAGTGAAATTCTAGAAAAATATGTGAAAAATTTTCCCCAGAAATGTTTTAGTTGAAGATACTCATAAAGTTTGTTGCATTCAATTTTTATACATTTTGATGTTTGCTATATCCACGTACAATAATAAGTGTATTGGAAATTGGACAGGACCATAAAGTTTGTTTTTTTACAAACTGGGTTTACTGTAGTGGAGATTGACGTGATAGACCAAACATGTGTACATGCAGTTGTGTGTGTCTGAGAAGAAATATGTGTGGAGATGTGTAGCAAATATTGGTTTGATATTTATATGATAAGAGAAACATGCCAAAGTAAAGCATTAAGAAAAACAACATCCTTGTGTTTGGCATAGATTAAGACTATCAATTTTGAAGGGGGAAAAGTACAGGTCCCTTTTCATCAGAAACAAAGAAAGGAAAAGCCATGGCCACCATGTATGCCAAAAGCAAAGGGTTAAAGTGAATGAGAAAGTACTTTCATCCTCGAAATTAATGAGTATTAATTAATTTTATTATTTTGCCCCTCGAGTCTTTGCTTTTGCCTAATTTTATATGGAACTTTAAGCCCAAATGAATTAACTTGTAAGTGCAGAAAATTTTTTATATCTTGGTTAAGTGCATTTAGGAGGTTAATATTTCTGTTTTGTATTTAGTCCACATTACAGAGTGAATTATAAAATATATTTGTATAAACTATCTATTGAAATCTTTGAAGAGTAAATTTGAAACTTGCATTTAAGTCTGTAAGTTATTAATTTTCCTCCAGTTTAGGTTAGTGTTCCTTTCACTTCAGAAATAGTTCTTGAAATGTGTTTAATTAAAGAGATTTTTTTTTCAAAATGCATCCATATTTGATCCCCCAAACTGGAATTGCACTGTAGTATTACTATTTGCAAAATTATAGTTTTAATGATGAGTTAATACTTATCATAGAGAATTTTTTATGCTTAATATCTTTTAAATAATGAACAAATTGCTTGTCTTTTATTTTTGGTATTTGAATCTCTAACAAAATGCATTGTTTTTATCTTAATTTTGAAATAGCTTAATGAGAATAGGGATACAGGCTGGCATTAATTAGGAGTTTTTCAGATCCTGGAAAGATTGTCCTTTACCTAATGTATCACTAGTTTACTTTATTTGTGTTAACTGCTGAATATTTTACATTAAAGATTTAAAGAAAAAAGAATCTGCTTATTTGGGATGGGAAATTAACATAGTTATATCAGTAAGAAGAGTTCGTTGTGTATGTTAAGTATGTGGCAATCAGCTTTTAAAGTGATATATTAATTTTTAAAAAATATATTTGTATATTGATTTTTCCACTTTTAAAGGCCCAAGTTTTTTTAATATGAATGTTTGGTAGAATTACTGATATTTAGATAATTTACAATGCTTATTATAAAAAGTTCACTGTATTTATTAACTCTTTTTATAATATGTTAGTTTGTCATTTTAAAAAAATATTTTAAATTTCTATAATGTGATTTTGGTAAAATTGTTATTGGTAATTTAATAACTTTTTGGCTGAATGATATACATTGCTTTTTACATGATGTGATTTCTTTATTATATACTCACTGTATTTTTCAATAACTAATTCATATATTTTTATTTGTAATAAATAATTTTAGTTTGTCAAATAAAATTTTTATTTATTTTATTAATTTCAAACTCTGTATTCTAAAATTTAGGGGAAAAATCACATTAACTTCTTTTTAAAAATAAGTTATAATGATTAAATGATTTGTGTGTAATTATGTGTTTGTTGTTGATTAAAGATGTGTGTATATTTTGCTGTTTTCACCATTTGATATATACTTTTTTAAATGAACTGATGAATTCCATAACCCTAAAATTATATTAGTATGTTTGCATTAAAAAATACTATCTAATCATGCATAGATGTTAATATTCATTGGTATTATTTCCCATACTGCTTCAGAATTTTAATGTGTATCCTCTTATTTTTCGGTAATGATTTTATACTGCATTGTAAATGGTAAAATAAATAAAATTATAAATTTAACAATGTGTTCTTTGTAATCTTTTTAATGCAGTTATTATAAAAATAATATATGAAAATTTATTAGTTTTATATTGTTATTTAAAATTTGCCAATATATGTATATATATTTAAATACTTTTAATAGTTCTTCCTTGTTTAAAATAACATGTTTTAATATTTTACAGTTTCATTGAAGAAAGTGAATGATGAAAGAGTGATTTCATGTTATAGTATTAGATCACCAAATTTGAGAGATCTTCCTCTGTTCTGTAGTCAGAACTGTATTTATGTAGTATGCAATAAAACTTTCATAATGAAGAAAGAATTGAAAAGGCATTTAAATCTTCGTACAGGAAAGCATTTGTTTGCACTGTATGTAAAAAGTTATGCGCAAAAAGGAACTCTCAAGAATCACATGAGAAGGCATAGTGGAGAATGTCCATGTTAATGCTACATTTTGCCCTGAAGTGTGTACTCACTTTATTACACTTCACTATCATCTTTAGCCCATATGAAATAATAAAGAATCTGCTAAAGGAGCAGAGAAAGGGCAATTGTCATAGAATATTTAATAGTTAAGTATCAATTTTTTTTATAATGCTTTGTTCTGATAAAGTATGCATCCTATTTTTTTTATTCATATAAATAATAGGTTTGTTGTAACTGTTGCATTTAGCTGCCAACTCTTCCAGTATGTCGCAGTTCCCAATCTCCAAATAGATCACTGAATCTTCCAGTTTTTAATTGTGTATTTTCACTAAGGAAAGTATAAATGAATTTTATTGAATTAATGAAACTTGAGTTTTGCAAATTTCATTTCCCCTTCTCCAGCCAGTGATTTTCAGCCAAATTTTTCTTATTAAATTTTATTTTATCTGAATTTTTTTTTAATATACTATAGACATTTTTAAAATTGTAGATTCAGTCAGTGTTTAATTAGTTAATAGTACGAGGGTCATTCTGAAAATTTTCAGATACACATAGGTTTTTTAAAGTTATACTTGCAAAATTTTAGTAGTGATCAAAGTAGTCTTCTCCAGCATCAGTGCACTTCTGCAGGTGAATTTTCCAAAGATTAAATGCCTCAAACCATTCACTGCTTGAGAAATCAATGAAAAAAATGCATTTATAGCCTCATCAATCTCATCTTTGAAATGAAAACAATGTCTGCGTTTTTAGATTAAAAAACAACAAAAAGTCACATAGCTAGATCAGGTGAATAGAGTTATTGTTTTATATCTCTGATGTGTTTTTGTTCAAGATATTCAACTGTCAATCTTGACGAATGAGAAGATGCACTGTTTATGGTGGAGCATGAGTCCTCTAACATTTCCTTCTTGAAGAATTTCTGGAAGACACTTAATGGTGTACCAGTTAGCTGTGACTGCCTTCTGTCCTTCCAGCTTGATGGCTTTGACCAATCCTGTACTTCTGAAGAAACAACATACATAATTTTTTTTATGGCACGTTGTTGTTATGGGCATGGGATCATCTTCAAAGATCCATACTTTACTTTCTTCACATGTTTGAACATCAAAAAATTGTATGTACGTTTCATTACCAGTTACTTTTTCAAAAAAATGTGGTGGCCACTGTTTTTAAGTAATTTAAAAGTTTCTTTACTGATTCTGGCACGTTACTCTTTTTGGTGCTGAGTTAAATTATAGAAAATGCAATGGCAAATGAGTTTTTTTCCATATGCAATTCTGTATGAATTGAAGAACACATTTTGCTTATTTCTGTATGAATTGCATATGTAATTCATAAAGAATTTTATGTATGGTGGTGGATCCAGTGTTAGTTCCTTTTGCATCATTTGGTAGATGCAGCAATTATCATCGATTAAAATTTTCCATATGGCAGACACATTATTTGGGTTTACTGCTGACAGTGGCCTTCCTGTGTGTCCTTTGCCCTGAAGAAAGTTGCGACCTCTGTGAAATTCTGTAAACCATTTGAATACAGTAGTACGAAATAGATCTTCATTTCCAAATGCTATTGGTAGATGTTAAACTCATTCTTGATTTAATCTCACTTCAGAATCATAGTGCAATAATGTTCTTGCATTAACTCCATTTTTCCTTCTGCCTAAAATTTATTCTGCACTAAACTAATTGCAGTTGTCCAATAAAGAAAATCAGCTGCTGGGCTAAAATAGTTCCTATTTTCAAATGTAAATGTGAATTTTTTTCTGCCACTTATCCTGTGCCTGTATCTAAAAAATTTCAGAATTACCTATGTGTTTGTTTTAGACCAATATAAGCACATTGCTAAATTTATCCACACAATACTATGTACATTAATTGTTCATTTTATTTTTATTATATTTAAAAGTACTACTCAGGATTTTCTCAGTAAAAAGTGTTTCCTATTTCAAGGTTAGCAGGTATGTGGTTGTAATTTTTAAATTTGGACATAAAAATAAAACCTGCAGCACATGCAACAGCTTTTACTTTTAGCCTTGCTGATACAAGGCTAAAAGTAAAATCTGTTAGATGTTAGGAGGTCTAATGTTTAGTTTGCAAAATTCATTTATTAAACTGTTAGCTATATAGAACAGTATTTTCAGTAATTTTATTGGATTTAAGGTGTTTGAGTTCAACATTTTTAATTTAAAAACAAAATTATATGCAGTATATTTTGTTGTGAATATATTTTATATCTTAAAACATTAACTTTTGAAAATATCAAAGAGTATTTAAATATTGAATTCTAAGATTATTCAAGTTCATTACTCTTTTGTTGTTTGCTCGAGATCTCTATTGCATATTTAATATGAAAATTGATTAAAACTAGTAAATGGCTTAGTTTTTGAGTGATCAATTAAATAAAACAGGGAAAACGGAAAAGAAAAAGAAAGGTTTGAGAAAAGAAAAAGAAAAGCTTTTTATTATTTAGTAAATAACCTCAAAATAAAATGTTTAGCATTTGCATTGTCTAAAATTCCTGGATTCAAAACATAAGCTGTGATTATTTTTGGAGGTATGTATTTTATCACTGTATTTTAGTTAAGTACCATTATGTTACTGCATTTCATAAGTTCACGTTTTAAATTTTCATAATAAAGGAAATATTTCTCAAATTTGATCATAATTAAGTGTTTCATATTTTTTCAGAAATCCTATTACGCACTATGAAGTAAAAGATTTCATTGAAGTCCCATTTTTTAAAGACAATATTCAATTTATTTTTTATTTACATAAATTTTTTTTGAATTAATGTATAAGGAAATGATGTCTGATTAAAAATATATTACTAAACTAGCACAGAGTAAAAATATCAGAATTTTTTTCATCACATTGAGATATTGATTTTGATGGTTACGGTGTAATAAAATATTTACTTATATAATCTTTCTGAATAAAAACCAAACATTATATTATGCTCTAATGTACATTTTTTCCCTGGTTGCTTTTTAAAATGGTATATTTTGATGTAAAATTTCAAACTGGTATTAAAATGTATTTAAATGAAAACTGGAAGTTATCATGTTACTGTGTATATGGCTTGGTTGCACACATCAATAAAAGGATTCTTATATATGTAGAAACAATGAACGTTTTTGCATACAAGAAACTCTTCAAAAGTTCCCAAATTGGGTATAGGCAACATTTATTTTCCTTTTCTATGCTTGCAAGTATACTGCACAAAAAGGATGCTTGCAGTTATGCTGTTCAAAAAGGATGCCTATTTGAAAATAGATATCCATGTTACCTTCCATTTCAGGCAACATGTTCTTGCATTGTAGTTTTTTTAGCACTGCTATATTTAAATTGGTTTTGTGATCTAATCAGTGATGAAAATAAACAATACAAAATAACAGCATGTGTGTATTAAATTTCTTGAAAATTTCAGCTAAGTGTTAAAGAAATGCATCAGATGTTTAAACAAGCTTATAGTGAGAATGCTTTTGAACAGATGGGTAATCCACATGATTTAAACAATTAAAAAATAAAAACAAAATAATTGAATTAAATATCGTGACAATAAGTCTGCTCACAATTCATTTATAATGTAATTTTTATCATCCAAAAGCATGGCAGCTCTTCTTTATTTGCCAGATGTAATATCTTTCTTTTCCTAAAAATGCCGTGAACTGAATTGTGAAGAATTTGACCCCCCTTAAAAGAATGAATATGCACATAAATTCTGAGAATCATAAAATTGCTAGCAGTTGTGGCTAAAGAATGTAGAAGAAGAAGGTGACTTTTTTTAAAAATTTTATTTTATGTAGGAAAAGCTCTAGAATTGATGTGAATTTACAGTCTGGCAGAGCTGATTGTCCCTTGACAAACTGCTACTGCATATTGACTTGTATGACAGTTTGAATGAAATATGCAAAATGCCCTTTAATTTTTTTTGAGAAAATAATTTTTTTATTATTACATTTTAATATGAATTTTACTTTTTTCGATTTTTATAAGATTTTTTAGAGGGATTGATTTTTTGTTAAATTTAAAGTAAGATAATAATTATGAAATTCAAGGCATTTTGTGACTAACATCATTCTTCAGTATTATTACTAAATATAATCTCATAATTGAAAATGTTTTCTTATTTAAAATTATTAATAACAATAAATTGATAACCACATAAATTTTGTGATATAAAATAAATACAATATTCAATATACATAAAAAAGTTCAGTCATATATAATACTTGATTAAAATTATATTTATGATAGTGTATTGCTTAAGTGATCTCAGAAATGGCAGAACAAATGGCAGAACAAAAAGTAGTTAAGTGATGCCAGAATGTGTTTGACATTTCCCATATATCCATTAATCAAATTATGGAACATTGTGTTATTTTCGTTATGTAAAATGGCATGAATTTCAATTGGAAAATGCTTTTAGAATGGTACGTATATTTTTTTTATTCGTATTTATGTGGTGGAAAATTTTAAATGTTTGACAACCCTCTGTTAGGCTAAAAAAATTGCTAAACTTAAGTTCTTATTCTATTACAACATTTACAAAAGAAGAAAATATTTAGTCTACTAGAAGATTAAAAAAAGTAAAAGATTAAAAAAGTTCTTAAGAGGTACATTTTAATTTATTTTGCATTTCATTACTTCTAAGTAGGTTAAATTGTGAAATAGTTAAGTGTTTTCATTGCTATTTAAATAGACTGTTAGCTTACAGATGTTAACTCATTTGAATGGAGTAGACTAATAATTTCAAAATAGTCACTCTATGATTTTTTTTGAAATTTTTATGTATCTGATTTCTAATTATTGACTTTTTGTAATCATACAGAAACTTAACTTTTGTGTGAATTTTCTGTGAATTAAGGATTCTTTTATGTGAGCTTGCTCCTAATAGTATAATAATAAAAGTTCTTCTGTGGTGCAGGCAGTTTTGTTATTGATCAAGGTGTTATTTTAGCAGTGTTTTGTGTAAATGAAGTAATTTTTCATTTGTTAGCTTTAATTATATATGTTGATGTTATTTTTTGACAGCTTCATTAAAGACGATGAAAGAAAGTCAGACAGTGTGTGATAAAAACATCTTTTCATTCTCCAGTACTATTGCAGCTTCCTCCAGTGAACTTACTCATCTTTACACTTTGCATTTTTGTCATATATGCAATAAATCTTTCAGTTTAAAAGGAAACTTGAAGAAACATTTAAATCTTCATACTGGTGAAAGACCATTTTGTTGTAATGTGTGCAAGAAGAGTTTTGCACAAAAAGGAAATCTTAAGATACACATGAGGATACACACTGGGGAACGTCCATATGCTTGTAAATTTTGTAGCAAGAAATTTTCTCAATATTTTGCTTTAAAACGTCATATCAGAACTCATTTGAAGCCATTTTCTGCATGAAATTCATCAGTACTATTAATCTTGTTTATGTTTTAAAAGACAGTTTGCATGTTTAAATCATCAATTTAAATTTTTGTTATAGTTCTGCATACATTGCATATTTATTCAGATGCAATACAGTGCAAAGTCTGAGATCTGGAATCATTGAAATTCTAATTTTAGATCATCAGTTTAAATTTAATAAGATGAAATGTAATAGAAATTATACAGATAAAAAATGAAATTGTTGTATGTGAAATAATGAAATATTTATGACATTTAAGGGAATTAAAATTTATAAAAATAACTCAATATTTATTTGTTTTATTAAACATTTCAGTTCAGGTTTTTCAAACTGTTTTTTTTTTTTTTTTTTTTTTTTTTTTTGTGCAAATACTTTCTATATAATTTTATAGCTATACATAATTTCTTGCTCAGTTACAAAGCTCCATTGTTTAGGTCCTGTAATTGTTATGCTGAGAATTATCATTAAAAAGAAATGGAAATCTTTTCATTCTTAGCATCCTCTTTGTCACTTTCCTCATGATCAATAGTGATATATCCATGCTTTCACTTTGCAACTCTGGAATTAGACATCCTTTTTGGCATAGTCAAAAACTGAAACTTTAAATTTTGATAAGATAACAGTAATAATAATAATAATAATAACCTGCAAGAAATAATGAACTGGATCAAATTAGAAAGTAAAGGAGAAGTGCAATTTGCTGTGTTTTTGAACATAGTTTGAATGTAAATTCCTTGGAATCTAATTCTTTCTTCCGTTCGTGTTCCTATGCCCAATGAAAAGAAACTAGTATGAGTAACATCCTACTGCAGACAGGTATGTTTTGAAGCTTTCCTAACTATTTAGGTTAGATGGAAAATTGCTGGGCCATCACAGCCATTCAAAGGCCAAAAGTGTAGTCATGGCTAGTGTCAGTACAACGCCAGTTAATGTATTGTTACTTTTCTTATTCTTCTGACACCAGTTGTTACGTTATTTTCTTCCTTCACGTTCGTACGGGGTTTTTTTTACAGTCGTCGAAGATCTACTATAAACAGTCTGACACAATCAGCGACACAGCCTTCACACTGTCAGGCAATAACGGTGGAGACAGCTTCACTGCAAAGCACCAGAGTACAGCTCCCGACTCTGCTCGGTCGTTCTCGGATCTCCACGCACTCTCAAGACACTCCACACTACAACTCGAAACGCATTCGACGACACACAGAGCACAGCTCCCGGTTCAGTCGTTCCCGGAGCTCAACACGCTCTCTCAATGATGCACTAACCGCAATACACTACGAGACTCTTTCGGTGCACTTGACGACCCACTCGGCACACGCTGCCCAACTGTCAACTCGCTCGACTCTGCAGGGATTGACGAGACACCAACTCGATACTAACTATCTCACACTCCAGATGAGGCATACACACTGACTGCGGACCAGCAGGGTTTATATAGCTTCCGGCTTGTGTTAGAGAACATTTTGGGCTAAACCGGTAAGAATTCGTTCCAGAAGGTTGTCCATCCGTTCATGGCATTTCGCCAATTTTGTCGGCAAATGAACAATTTCTCGCCAAATGTGGCAACCCTGCCCTCCCTTTCCATTTTATGGCAACCCTAAAACCACTTTGGGAAGAAGCTATCCTACCGTGCCTGGATATTTCATAACAGTATTATTATTGGCCATGGTGTGATTCCTTAGCCAGCAGGTGTTTGAAAGTGGTGTGCATTCATTTCAGTTAATTGGGAGAAAAGTCACATTAACAGCACTTGTTTTTTTTTTTTTTAGTACTATTAGACATTCCTAAACTTTGTGAAAAAGAAGAAGTTAAAAAAAAATTCTGCTGGTCCTTATGTTGGACATTCTGATTTCGAACATTGTACTACATTATCATGCATTTCTTAAATTATATGAAATGTAACCTTCCAAAAATGTTTAAATGTGTTTTTGCTATTACTATCATTTCTGTTTTAAAAAAATTTGTTTCTATGGTATTTAAGCAATATTAATACAAAGAAAAGCAATATTATTAGAAAGAAAGGAATATTAATATTGCATTATGGATTTTCATTAATGCAATAAGTGTATTGTTTTTATGTAAGTAACACATTTTATTCATAAAAGAGAAGGTTTGTGCATTTATCCTGCAAAATTAACCTTTCCTGCTTTATAATTTATTGTTGTTTTCAAATATTTTCGTGTTTCTGTTGAGATTTTTCCAAGGAATGATGATAGCATTATTTTTTTCATAAAAATGGCTGTAATACTTTCGTATTAAAATTTTAAATGATTTTTAAACTGATGTTTTTTAAAATGACTTAATAGGTAACTCCGAAATAATTTTTTGTAAAAATCAAGCTTTACTATTCATTTGTTCTGTGCAAACTATTTTCATGTGGGTGATTGAAATGTGATTACTTTATAAAGTCTTAATAAAGTCTTTATAAAGTCTTACTGTTTTCCATTTGGTGGCAAATATTCTCTGTGTAAATTGAAAAGAAGTTACTTTTCAATGAGATTAAATGCTGTTTTTTTTTATGTAAGAGGGAAATACTGAAGAATTGTTCAAAGTAGCTGTTTTCATTTTTCAAAAGTATATGACTTAGCATTTTTTAAGGTCAGAAACATATTAACAAAGGAAATAGCTTTTAAGTTCAAATTTGAATCTTTCAATGCTGATCATAATTTTATAATTTAATTGTTGAATGACGTGTATTTTAAAAATTCATTCTGAAATCCAGTTAAGCTGTCTGAATTTTCTAATTAATATATTATTTCATGTATTAGTTCTGTGTGAGAAAAGGCTAACACTTTTTTCTGCTTAATATCTTTTAATAATTCTTGCTAGGAAAAGTATGTATTTTCTTAAGATGAACTGGCATTATGTTTATGTTACTATAATTTTGTCTTGTGTTGCATTTAATACAAAACTTTCAATAGCTATTGACCTTGCTGCAGTGTAGCTTTGATCCACCTTTCGAGGGTTGGAATTAAAGATATCTCTCCCCAAAGGATTTTGAAATTGAGGAATTGTAAGTGTTAACACCCTGAAAAGGCATTATAATTACAAGTATTCATATTCTTTTGAATCTAGCTCAGGCCTTAAGACCAGCTTTTGCTGTCTGGAACAACCCATATTCTTTTCTTTTTTTAAAAAAAGATTTCAGACATTAGTTTGGCAAGCTAAATATTTTATGATAGTATTTATTTCACATTTAACATTTTTACGGTAGTTAAAATAAGAATTTGTTTTAAATTGAAATGAATGGACTTAGTTAATAGCAGGAAATTAAATATGCATTGTATTTTTATATATGAAAACTAACATGTTAACAATATCTAATTTCTGTACCATCTTATTTTTATTCAGGTTTTCAATTATCATTTTATTTAGTATGGGCTCATTATCAATTTATGTAGTATGAGCTCATTATCAATTTATGTAGTATGAGCTCATTATCAATTTATGTAGTATGAGCTCATTATCAATTTATATAGTATGGGCAATAGCATAAGAAAAAATGTCTTTTGCAAAATTTAATATTGCCTCTGTAAGCCATTAAAGCGAAAATAAAATTCTTTATTCAAATAATTGCTTAATTGAATAATAAAATAATGAGTGAAAATGTTGTTCAAATATGTAGTTTAGTTATCAATATATTTTAAAATTGTGTTTAGGCATTTTTTTATACATAAATGGGTTTTTTCCATTTTTGTTCCACTAATTTTAACGCAGGTTTAATTTTTTTCTAATTTTACATTTGTATATTTATTGTTTGTTATTATTTTATCATATTTTTTCATAGCACTTTCAAACATGCTAGAACTTGCATTATATTAAGTAGCTATGAGCATATGATATAAGGCATATTTTTTGAGTTTCATTTATAAATGCTTTCTTGGCTTAGATAATATTGTAATTGATATTTTATACTCGTATATTAAGATTTATTATAAATAAATGGCTTTTTATTAGCCATGATATATGAAACATTTTACTCTGATGCACTTTTTCAGTCATTAATTAATCATGAGTTTTAGAAAACAAACCAAAAAATAAAAGTTTTAAGAAGTTGTAATAATTAAAATAATCATCAAACTAACGACACTATGTGTTTAGGAAATATAGGTGAATTTTGTTTGAATAACAGATTCGTTCCTGGTATTCACAAAGCCATCTGTTTTCATTGCAAAAAATATCAGAGAATTGCGTAAATTCAGCATTGCGCACGGTTCTTGACACTGCACACATTAAACATATATGTTATAATCACAATGAATAAAGTCGAATCCCACGAGCGGGCTGACTGCATGGGCGTTTTCTTGTTTTTCCTCATCTGTGACGTATATACAAGCCAGTTTCCCTTAGAAAGTCCTCCACAAAAGGCATCCCTCCCTTTAGGCAGATAGCCCTCGTGTACTTTGCCATAATTGAATAATCCAATCCATCCTATTCTTTTCATGAAAGTATTATGCATCTCTAAGGTTGCTACCATCTAGGCAGATTTCTCACCAACATTTATGTTAGGCAATTAAGTTGCACTCTCTTAGCAGAAAAGTGATGTGAAGTCTTCCTCTTCATTCTAACATTCAGGTGCATTAACATTTTGAAATTGAATCTAAGTGGCTAACTGAATTTAACATTTTTTCAGTCACTTTAAAAGTTAAATTATGAGAAGTGCCCTTGAATTGTATAGGGATTAAGGACAAAGTGCTTTGAAATATGAATGCTTGTTTTACAAGAGTGCAGAAAATTTGTACAGCAGAAAGTGTTATCATTGGTAAGTTTCAAATTTATTTGGTTCCTACTTCAGTGAATTTATATTATGGAGGAAATATAGAAAGAATATTTCCTCCATAATATAAATTCACTTTATCCTGATTTTATCCTGATGAGATCTTTTATCCTGTATTTTCATTTATGTTAAAATTATTTGCAAGCCAACATAGGAAACAAAATCAAGAACTTTTAATTTCATTTAATTTGTCTCATTTTTAAATTTAATTTCCTGCATTTGAAATTTTATTGATCTATTGCTCCTCCTTGAAATTGCTAGAGAGTAATCATTTCAAAAATTATTTTTGCTCTTTGTGCATCAATTTGGCACCAAAGCTAAAATGCACCAATTGCATTTTCCGGCCAAGGCCTTTAAAAATACTAAACCTGTCTGATCTGTGCAATGAAGTGACAATCTGTTTGTATTGGTATGTAATTTGAATAATTTTTGTTTCATTTATCATTATGATTCTTATGTTTGAAAGTTACAGTTTGTTTATGGTATAATTTTCCAAAACTTTCTGCCATTTTGAATTTTCTCTCCCCCCCCCTTGGCACATCAGTTTCATACCAAGGCTAAAATGCATTAGTTGCTGTTTTAGCCAATGCCACTATAACTGACAAATACCATAAAGTCTAATGTAACCCTTAGATCCAAAAATGTGTATGACTTCCATAAAACTAAATTGTTAATACTGAATAAAATTAAAATTGGAACTAAAAAGACTGTTTTAAAGGCTCCAGGCTTTCCTTCTGCAATTTGTGCTGTAATTTCAATAAATTTTGGATTTTAATAAAATATTGGAATTTTTAAAGAATATGTATATTGCAAGTTTCGGTATGCATATTTTTTGTTTTATTTTATTCAACTGTGGCAGTGTATTTACTAGCATAATTCCCCCCCCTGCAAATTTTACCTGTTAGTTTTTTCAGCATGTGAGTGTGAAATGCGTACACAAATAAAAAAGTACATTGTGTAACTAAACAGGATATTATTAAAATTAATAACTTTCACTTCTTTGAAATACAAAATAAAGTGTTGTTGGCACACACATTTTTTTTTTTTTTTTTTTTTTATTAATGTATGCCTCAGAAATCATGTACACAACATAATTTTCCCATCTTGAGGTGAATCTAGTGAAAAAAGAGAGGAATATGTGGGCAGACACACTATATTTCAAAAATATTTTGACATTTTTCTGTTAGAGCATTTTATTTGCAAAAATGAAATGCAGAAAGAGAGCTTTTGGAACAATCTTTTTTAGTTTAATTTCAAATTTATTCAATAGTAAAAATTTAGTTATATGAGTTGGCTGTAATGAATATTGTTTAGAAAAAAAGCAGTGAGTGAGAAATCATTTTCAATTATCAAAAGTTTTAATATATATATATATATATATATAAATTTAAAACAAATTAAAATTCTTACAAATACGTATAAAAGTAAAAAAGCAAATTTAAATTCTAAAAAAGAAAAAAGCCAAAATAATTAAAAAAAAAAAAAAATATGCAAACATGTAAAAGATTTAATTCTCGAACTAATCTACAAATCATTTAAATTCAGAAGCATAAGCAAATCAGGTGCAAATCTATCCATGAAAATAAATCTACTAATTTAATAAATAAAATTAAATTAAACAATTAATTTTTTTTTTTTTTTTTTTAAGGTTTCAGAATCTGTAATGCATGTGAAAACGTAGTAGAGATTAAATTATGGAAGCCATATGACACATGAATGCCAAAACAATTAAAAATTGTCCTCAGAATATAATAGCTTCCACTTTAACCTTCTGACATTCAAAGATGCTACCTTGGCTTTTATTTTCTCACTTAAATTAGATGCCATATTTCATTTTGTGTGTGGGGGTGGGGGTGGAGGACTTGCAAAATGAGAAATTATGCAATTATGTATGAAATTTATGTATTAAATGTATAATGCCTTAGTTTGAATAAAATCAATTAACAGGCATAAAACCTTATTCATTAAAAAATAGGGGGTGACTTATTAAAAATCCTATAAATTCAGAATGCATATAATTCTTTTTGTGTGTGTGTTTTTGATTATGTGTGTATTATTCTTGCATTTTTAATATTCTGTTTTTTTTAAATTATTTTTCTTATTCATAATAAAATTACTTCATGTTTTTCCATTCAGATTCCTCCCTCTTCTTTTTTTATTTTATTTGGCACGTTTACATAAATTCGTAAAATATATGTAGCTTATTGATCCTAGGTGGCATGACAATAAGGGAATCTCGTACGTAATGTGCCCTCTTTCTTTGAAATTGTGTTACAAGACAGTAAGAGTTTACTAAAACTAGTAAGCTAATGCCAAGTTAGGCAGTAGCCTAATTAAAAAAAAAAAAAAAAAAGTCTCATCATGTATACAGTACAAAGTCCGTAATCCGGTCTCGTCAGGACTTCAGCGATTCTGGATTATAGATAATCAGTTTTAATCTGTGACGATAGCATGCAGAAATTATACAATTAAAAATATGAAACCGTAATTTATGAAATAAAGAACAATTATGATCTAAAGGGTATCAAAATTTACAAAGAAAAAGCTTAATATTTATTTGTTTACTTTATTAAACATGTCTTGCAATATAAATTGTTTAAGTTGCTTCGTTTTTTGTGCTAATACTTTCTCTTTAATTCTATAAACAGACATAATTTCTTGTTCAGTGACAAAGTTCCACTGTTCAAGTCCTGTAATTGCTGTGTTGAGAATACCGACTAACTTGTCAATCGAAATTTTGTATCGCTTTGTAGATCCTTTGGCAGCTCCAGAATTGGAAACTCCTTTTGACATTATCAAAAGTTCAAGCTTAATTTTTATAAAATTGCTCTAACAGTCTGCAAAAAATAATAAGCCGGATCCAATTAGAAGATTAAGGAACAGTGCAATCTGCAGCATTAACTGAAATGCCTTAGAATCAGTAAAGATAATTTTAGCCTAGCTTATAGCATCTGTTATACATTAAATGCACATGTGAAAAGCATACAAAAAAAAAAAAAAGTTTGTGGCTTTGAGGTCCGAATTATAGATCATTCTGGATAATGAACGTCCAGATTACGGACTTTGTACTGTATATATATATGAGGGGTATGATGGGCCTTTTTCTTTTTTTTAATTATTGTAAAGAAAATCTTTTATATTTCCATTAGAAACTAATGAATTCGAACGAAATTTTCCATAGTTATTTTTCTAAGAAGGATAAAAATTCATTAAATGCTGTATGGTAAATGTCACAAATTATTCTGTAGTAATTTTATTTATATTCATTCGCAGGCTATTCCGGGCTCCCCTTTGATCAAATTCTAAGTGTCAGTGCTTTTAATATATGTGGTGTGTGTAATAAATCTTTCACTCTCAAAGGAAATTTAAAGAAGCATTTGAAACTTCATACTGGAGAACGTCCATTTGTATGTCCAGTATGCAAAAAGCGTTTTACCCAAAAAGGAAACCTGAAGACCCATTTGAGATTTCACACTGGTGAACGTCCATTTGTGTGTAATGTTTGTGGCAAAAAGTTCACTCAGAGCTCCAACCTATGGAATCACAGTAAGACACATAAAAAGTGATATAAAGTTTGTAAGAAACAGTGTATAATCTTATTAATTCTAAAAGCTTTTAAAATTAGTAATCATTAATAAGCTGTTTTTTAATCTGCAGGAATTGTATGTTTTGTCATGAAAATTTACCTGTAACATAAATGACATCTTGTCAAATCGCAGTTAAATCTATACCAGTTACATGTTATAATTTGTGGCATGCAAGTTGATGAGATGAAATGTCTATTGCTTAATGTGCAGTTATGTTCCTTTCAACCTTCCAAGTGGAACATTCATTACTTCTTGACTATACTGCCAGCTACCTTTTTTTTTTTTTTGTTTCCATTTAAATTTATGTATGTTGAACATGTTAAATATGTGCAGTACCAGTAGTGTTATTATAATGTAACAAATAAAATTTCATAGCAATTTTTAAATAAAGGTGATTGCTATTCTTGTTACTTTGTGCTTAGTATTCATTTCACTTTCTCTTGTAAGAGCATAGAGAGAGGTATAATAAAAGTATCATGATATTAACTAGCATTGAGACTTAATTTTGGAAACTTAAGCAGTTTTCATATGCATTTAAAAATATTGCTAACCATTGTGATATTTGTTTTTATAACTATATTATTTTTGAGAAAAAAATTAATTTAATTCTTTAAATCTTTTGTTTTCCCTTTCAACCATATCATGATAAAAATGTATGGATAGAGAAGAATCTTGAAATTGACTATTGACAAAAAAGGGGGGGATAAATAAATTGCTTCTGTGTAACCACTCTAATGAAAGTGATTTTCAGAATGTGCCAGAATTTGGCAACCAAGCACTTAATTTTTTAAATGCCTTTTCATGCATTCATTTTGTTTTATTACAAGTTCCAGTGATTTTTAATAGATAAATCGTAATATATTTTGGTCTAACGTAATAGTAAAAAAAATATGCTTTTATGAGATATGCTAACAATAAGAGAAATTACAGTAAATATTTTGCAAGCATATAGTGTTTTGCTGCAGAATCACTGAAGAGAACACAGTTGCGTTGAATCTGTTTTTAAAGCTATTGTTGTGATCTATATTTCCATAAAAACAAACAAACAAAAAAAAAAAAAAAAAAAAAAGCTTTGAACAAAAGGGGGGAACACCACTTATATGTAGGTTTTATGTTAAATTGTTTTTTGAGATTAAAAATCTTTATTAAAATGTAAACATCTGTATGTATAATGAATAAAATTTTGCAGTTAGAAGCCATGTTAAATAATGAAAATATGTTTATTTAATTTAATTATTTAAAAAAATATTTTATTCTAATTAAACAACTGTTCAAGTATGCAATGTATTAAATAATGAACTGGCATATTATTTCCATTAATCAGAACTGTTTCTCCCTACTTGCCTCGTGATTTCCTTTTAATTTCATATTTTCAATCCTTGCATTCACTGTACTTTTTAATAATTATTTGCAAGATATTCTTATAAATGCTAATTATGATTTCAAAATTTGCACATTCATACTCATATGAATGAAGTTTGTTATTTACTTATCTTACTTATTAAGAAGCATTTCAAGTATGATTGTGACACTATAATTAATTCTATAAAATGCTGTGCAATAAATTTTAGAAATTTTTTAACGATGTAAAACATTTTGATGGAATTTTTAAACCAACAAACTCTTCCAAGATTGAAAATGTTTATTAGATTAGAAAATTATTACATGTACTGAAAATTATTGTATGTTAATTAAAAAAATCATAGTTATTAAATAGTAATCATGTTTATCAGACATTAATTATTTTTAAACAGTACTTATCATATATATATGCAGACACACATTTGTATGTGTACATAACATTACCTGCACATGTAATGGCAGGTAATGGCGAATGAACACATATTTTCATAAACATATCTTTGTGTTAAATATTGTTAGTTTTCATTGGACTTACCGCTGTCACTTTTTCATCTGACTTAAACTTATCACCTTTATTTTGTTTATCATCATCTGCTGTTTTCTGGAATTTATTATTTGTGGTATATCATGTGCCAAGAAATTTTTTTATGACCATTAAAATTTCTTATAGTAATGTTCCATAGTGTAACTTACTACTTTTTCATTTCAGTGTATATCAACTAATCTGCATTGCTTTTATAGGTATTTAAATTGCATATTTAATATATGTATATATATATATATATATATATATATATTGTTGTTGATTAGGTCTTTTTAATTCCTTTTAAAATAAATCAACTTTAGATTACGAAACATTTCAAATTATTGAGGCTCTGTTCTCTTTCTGTTTCATGTAAATAAACATTTTTGGTATTACGTACTTGTTTCAAACCAGGTATTTATCAATATTTCTTTTCCACGGCAAGTATCTTTTCGATACTTGTTGATAAAAATTTTGGCACTGTGATTATTACAGGGATGTGTGCATTAAAATGCAGTCAATTTTTGCCATACTTGTAAAGAATTTTGGTTATAAATACGGACTGGTATTGTGTAATGTAGAGAGTTTTATAAATTAAATAGGTTTTATAATTAATTTTGATGATAATTCAAGTGTTTTGTTTTAGAAGTATGGCAAATTTTCCAAATTAGCAGTATGAGCTAATGCTAAAAGTAATTTTCTTGTAATTTTTGGTGTCATTGAAATGTATATTAAAATCATGTTTTCTTCCCCATGTAAGTTATTTATCTGGAAGTTTAACATCTACATAAACTAATGGGATAAATTAACATTTTGTTACAAGAAATAAACACAAACATTTTATAGAGCTTGAAGATACAAAACACAGCTGATGGTTACACTCTTTGGAATTGTTTCTCATCGTTTCCGATTCCAAAAAGACATTCTTAAAAAATGTGTCTTTTTGCTGATTTTTCGCAGATTGTTATTAAATTGTATTATAATTTCTGCATATGTTTATTTAAATTTTGTAGCAGTTATCATCTTTTATTTTTCGAAATGTAATTTTCATGTGAATTAAAAATATTACAGGGTTTATAATTTTGTTTTTAATATATTGTAATGTATTCTCAATGTTTTAAAATACTTTATGGCAATAACTTTTTGTCTTTTTAGCAATCCTGTTAAAAGAGAATATATCAGAAATATTGAATTTAGATACTGCCGTTTCATATTCTAGTGGATCTTCTTCACTATTCAAAGATTACCATCAGTTGCAGACTAAACAAATGGGTAATATTTCATTCGTATGTGAGGTGTGCAACAAATCTTTTCGTCAGAAGAGTGGTTTAAAGAGTCATTTAAAGCTTCATACTGGAGAACGACCTTTTATGTGCCCTATTTGTAACAAAGGTTTTGCTCAGAAAGGAAATCTTAAAACACACATGCGATTTCATACTGGAGAACGTCCATATCAGTGTAATGTATGTGGAAGGAAATTTTCACAGAAAGTTTCCCTTCAATACCATTACCAAACAGTTCATGTAAAAGACTGAGTACGAGAAGTTTAAATACTTGTAATAATCAGAATTTTTCAAAGCCTATTTTGCATATCATTTTATTTGTTTTTCTAGTGCTTATGTATTATCCTGTCTACTCTGGGAGTTGCCTACTATCAAACCATGAAAGTTTCGGAAGTCTCACTAAAGTTGTGCCAGTTGTTTCTACAGTCTTCATGTAATAAAGATTCTGCAACTTTTACAATAAAACATTCATCAATCTGTCTGCACAATCCATCAAATAGCCATTGCTGCAGAAGTACTTGACCCCTTCTGTAAAAAGGCTTTGGCCAGTTTTTCTATTTTAGGTCCTTCAGATTTTGTTGGAATCTGTAAGGATGCTATGAGTAGAAATGTATTGCAAACCTCAAGAATATCCAGCTATTCTTTTCTCTATTCAACAGATGTTAATTCTCTCGATCATCTGTAAATGAACCAAGTGCAATCACGGACATGATTCTACACCCCTTGAACTTTTCTTCCCCCAAAATGCACAGAGAAAATACAGCAGTAATAGTTAATGTACAAAACCCCTCATCCAGAAAGTAAACATCATTTGGGTATAAAAAAAGATTAGCTTTTTGTTTTCATTTGTATTTTACTACAGGAAAATCTACACATATTAAACTACTTTTCAATATATTCACCCTGCAATTTAAGGCATATGCTATATCTTAGCACTAATTGCAAGGTACCTGTTTTGTAGAATTTGGTTGCTTGTGACCTGAACCATTTCTTATTGTTTACCTTGATCTCATCATCACTTGCAAAGTGCTGACGGGCAAGAAATTTCTTGAGATGAGAAAACAAACTCCATATTATATTATAAGGAGCGTGACAGAATTGTTCCCAGCGAAATGAATCAAGTACCCTCTGTAAAAAGCTTTTGGCCAGTTTTTACTATTTTGTTAGGCCCTTCGGATTTTGTTGGAATGCATGCAGTATGTGGTCATGTTTTGTCATATATGTACACAATACCAGAAGTCACTAAATAGTCCACATCTTGTGTTCTGTATTTTGTGCTGTAACTTCCTCAGTGTTTCACAGTTAGTTGTAGCATTGATTATTGTGCCTCATTCGATCCAGTCCACTTAGATTTCTGACAGTCCCAAAATACGATGTATATGATTTTTTCTTGAAAAGAGAGGTGCCTTTGCTTTCTTGGGTTTCAGGGAACTGCTATGCTGCCATTCCAGTGACTGTCCTTTCATTTCAGGTGTCTCAACAAATCCATGTTTCATCACCTGTGACAGTCCTTTTAAAGAAATCATTTTCTTCTGTCGCATAACTCTTAAAAAATTTCAAGGTTGCTTCCATGCATTTCTATTTTTGAACATCGATTATTATTTTCTGTATCCATCACCAACACAGTTTTTCATAGTGCAATTGTTCAGTCAAAGTTTGATGTAATAAAGATTGTAAAATGTTTCAAAAATACGTTGACAAATCAGAAATTGTAATGAACTTTTTCGTTGATACAGTGCACCAAATATCAACGATTGCCATCCACTGCACTCCTCGTCATGGATATTTTCC